CATTGCAGGCTGCTGAGAAAGTAAAGAAGAATGTTATCCTTAAACAAACACAAAGACCCCAATTAGTCCAAGAGACCAGGTGGGTCAACCCACTTGCAATTCTATGAATTACATTTCATGTTTTTAAAAAAGAGAAGAGAAAATCCAATCGTCCAATTCCTAACATCCCTATGAGACCTGATTGAGCCCTGTGAGAGAGTGACAAGTTTAACAGGGCTCCGACTGTTATCAGGTTGGTGATGAAGGGGTTAAAATTAGTAGAGAAATCTGAGCTTATCACCCCCTCAATGCCTCTCCATCACATAATCATCAATGTCTGGTCTCTGATTGAGGTAGTGTTCAGCAGCCTCCTCAAATACTGTGACAACACTGTGCCACTACATTTAAATGAATTGCACCACTGACCTCTAATCAATGGAGTTAACTACTTCAGAAATCTTCTCTAGCCCTCTCCCTATTTCCATAATGATATAATAACATCCAAAAGGGTTGTGAAATGGGCTAATCAGCCCAAGTAGGTCAGAGACAGAAGCACATCTTGTTAGTCAAATTGGTTAAAGTGGAAACTCGTTTTTGAGACTTTGCCTATTGTTAGCTGCCTCAGCCTGAGCCAACTACAGTGAATTTAATGTGGCGTAATATATCTGGACAGGAGAGGACAGTGACTGACTGCACCTTTGTTACGCTGCCTTTCTGCAGCAATGGCAGCTGGGGTACACACACACACACACACACACACACACACACACAGTCATGTGCCCACATCAGCGTTGGCTCTCACGGTCACAAGATTTAAAGGGAAAGTAGGCCTACTGATCAGGTTAGAATAAAACAAATACTGTTTAGCATTATCGGCATGACTGTTTAGCATTATCAGCATGGTAACCAATGGTAATGCTCTATCTATTCAACCGAGAGCCCTATTAAAATATCCTACCATTGATTTGTAGAACAAGCCAATCTGGTCCTATCCCCAGCATTATATCCATCACTAGCCAACCGAGAACTTCGTTAGATAGAACACGCGCAGAAGGTTGGAATGTTTGTTTGATGACACACCTAGATAAAAGTGAACACATCGAGAAGATGATCTGAAAACGGACGTATGCTATAGCTCTGTGACAGTATAGGCTTTTGGAAACAAACTTGTTTTGGTAGTAGGCTGATTAGCAGGTAAACAACAAGACTGTCACATGGAGTAAGTATAGCGGACTCCCACGGCCTAAATAACAAACAAACACTAGGAATAAAGACTGCTTGTGAATATACAGTAAATCACTTGCCGCGTTCCAAACAACTGGGAACTCGGACATCTCCGACTTCAATGCGTGAAGGAAAAAACGAGCTCTGACTGGGACAAATCGTTTTGAACTGTCATCCAACTCGGATTTCCAATTCGGAAACCTCGGCATCTTTCTTAGAGCTCCGAATTTCCGACCTGAGGAACACTGACTCATGATTTGACCTCTTTTTTCAGAATTCCCAGTTGTCTCGAAAGCACCAACTGCTCGCTTGCCATGAACCACGTAGTCTGTGAGATCATGCGCGTAGCCTAAACATCAGCTGGCTTCATGTAGCTGGCTAGGCTAACTGGTTAACAAATATAATTTCCATTCAATGTGAAAGTCTGCAAGTCTGAAATATCTAGCTGCGAACAGTATCAATTGGTTACAACTGTACCTTACTGTTTATAATGTACGTCGGCGGTGCCATACCGCTCCATCCCTTTGCGACATCCTCACGAGCGGCCAAGGTTTCCCCGTGACATGTCGCTACTGGGCAGGACTGCTCGAGCGCTACTGACGTTCAGATGACCGATCGTTTGGCACGCCCACTATGGGCAAAATGGATCAAGGAAGCTATCTACTGAAAAAGTATAGCAGGAAATGGACATTCTAAACACTGATGCGTCGTGGCTTTTGAATGTGCTCATGGCAATGCCCATACAAAACATCTCTGGCAATATTGTGATGACGTCACTGTAACATTATATACAATGGGCGCGTCCCTCTGCCCAGGAGTTGCTGACACATGTGAGATCTTACAACGCAATGGATAGGTTTTTTAAGGATCAGCTAACCACATCATATGTTGTAGCAATCTTTTAGTCGATGACACAGTCAATCACTCAAACACTGCACTTTGTCAGGGATAGCCAAGCCCTGTTGTGACAAGAATACGGTTTCCAATAGAAAGCATAGCCACAAAGTCAAGATTGGCCACAAAAGTCAAAATCTTAATTTAAGGTTAGGGTTAGGCATAACGTTAGCTGTGTGGTTAAGGTTAGGTTTGAAATCAGATTTTAAGAAGATAAATTGTTGTATGGGGTAAGTTGAGCCCCGGGAGAGGGTAAGTTAAGCCGCCTACAAATGTCTGTACTGAATGAAATATTACCGCTACCTTTTTAAAACCATGTCTAGATTTACACTACCGGTCAAAAGTTCTAGAACCTACTCATTCAAGGGTTTTTCTTTATTTTTACTATTTTCTACATTGTAGAATAACAGTGAAGACATCAAAACTATGAAATAACACATATGGAATTCTTCAAATAGCCACCCTTTGCCTTGATGACAGCTTTGCACACTCTTGGCATTCTCTCGACCAGCTTCACCTGGAATGCTTTCCCAACAGTCTTGAAGGAGTTGCCGCATATGCTGAGCACTTGTTGGCTGCTTTTCCTTCACTCTGCGGTCCGACTCATCCCAAACCATCTCAATTTGGTTGAGGTCGGGGGATTGTGTAGGCCAGCAGCAGCACAACATCATTCTTCTTCTTGGTAAAATAGCCCTTACACAGCCTGGAGGTGTGTTGGGTCATTGTCCTGTTGAAAAACAAATGATAGTCCCACTAAGCACAAACCAGATGGGATGGCGTATCGCTGCAGAATGCTGTGGTAGCCATGCTGGTTAAGTGTGCCTTGAATTCTAAATAAATCACAGACAGTGTCACCAGCAAAGTACCCCCACACCATAACACCTCCTTCTCCATGCTTTACAGTGGGAAATACACATGCGGAGATCATCCGTTCACCCACACCGCATCTCACAAAGACACAGCGGTAGGAACCAAAAAATCTCAAATTTGGACTCTAGACCAAAAGGACAAATTTCAACCGGTCTAATGTCCATTACTCGTGTTTCTTGGCCCAAGCAAGTCTCTTCTTATTGGTGTTCTTTAGTAGTGGTTTCTTTGCAGCAATTCGACCATGAAGGCCTGATTCACACAGTCTCCTCTGAACAGTTAATGTTGAGATGTGTCTGTTACTTCAACTCTGTGAAGCATTTATTTGGGCTGCAATTTCTGAGGCTGGTAACTCTTATGAACTTATCCTCTGCAGCAGAGGTAACTCTGGGTCTTCCTTTCCTGTGGCGATCCTCATGAGAGCCAGTTTCATCAAAGTGCTTGATGGTTTTTGCGACTGCACTTGAAGAAACTTTCAAAGTTGAAATGTTCCGTATCGACACTTCAATTTGCTCAACTTGCCATTGGCTCAACCATTGGTTCAATTTACCCCAAGGCAAACATTTGACTATTTTAGCCCACACAGCTACAAGGATTCCATTTTATGCTGGGTTTATGACCTCATATTGACCCCAACTGATGTATAGAACAATCTTTAAATGATCTACTTTGGTTTAGATACAAACATCATGAAACCTCTAACACAATAAATTCATATGACTTGGTGAAAATCTGTTTTTTGGACCTAACTTGCTTACCACTTTTTCCACGTGGTTTCTTCCTTAACAGACTCCCTGAAATGATGACCTCTTCCTAAATATTTGGTAAAAATATTAATTTTGTGTATGGTTTCCTAGAAACAAGGGCGGCTCAACTTACCCCACTCTCCCCTACGTTTTATTCTGCTGTAGCTCAATGTATCAGCAGTAGTGTGCTCTTTGAAAGATATGAGAATGTGGACTTTCCCCTTGATAAAGTTGATCTATTGTAATATTATCAGTGTGGGAATGGGTAGAAAAGCCTGCACACACAATGTATTAAACAGTATGAATGTGAATGATTGTGAAGGTGTGTCTATGTTTGTAAGTACCACCATGCACAGTACACACATACTGCCTAAGCATGCATGTGTGTGTGTGTATCAAATAAATCAAGTTTCAGACAATGATTGAAAAGTTAAAGGCTATGAACAGGGAGACTATCAATAAGATAGGGAACTGCATGGACTTTGGAAAAGCCACTCCTTGAAAATACACGACATACTGTTAGTGAAACACAAAACAAATTCAATTGATAAAACAGAATGATATCTCAAATGACTCCGATACAGATATCTTACAGATTACAAAAACACGATGAGAACAAATCATATACTGTAATCTTACATTACCTGCTGTTCAATGGCCATTTCAATGAAATATATACTCATTTAACAATATAACCATTTATTATAATCTTGTGTAATACAAAATACTGCTACCATTCCATATATTCTCAAACCCCTATCCCTGCCCACAGAGAATAGCTCATTAAGACAACTTTGTCCAACTAGCCTGGATCTTTCTGTCATCACTACGATGGGGTCCTGAGTCATTAGCACTGGCTGTGGGCTAGAAAGTGAGGGATCATGGGAGATCAGCAAGCCCCCGGAAGGAGGGTTTTGTGTAGATGGGATACAGCTTATCTCAAAATTGACTTTTTGTAGCAGGTTAGGAGAATTAGGTTAAGGTTAGGAAAAGGGTTAGCTAAAATAAAATAAAAATCTACTGTTGACGTCAATTTGACATAAGCTGTATCCCTTCTAGACATTACCCTGTTGGAGCTTTGTCTTAGGCTGATTAATGGGTCACATGCTCCTTGTGCTTCTCACTGGGGTCACATTGCCACAGGAAGGCCACATGGGTCTTACTCTGCAGCTCCACCGAAATGTCACCATAGGAACTACATCTTGTGTTCTCACACACAGAAAGACCCCATGCTAAACACACAGTACCTATTAATGCCAGAATGAGAAATAAATAGTCCAAATTTGTATTACAGTATGTAGCGAAGCAAGTTTAATGACAATGTAATGCATACAGCATAACCATGTGATAAAATGTTACATGTAATTCTTAATTTCTGTCATTAAAACATGACATTAGTCATTTTGATAGGGTGAAGACATATCAGCAGGATCTCAACAAAACCAAAGCAGGCATTTTTTAAAATGTGGTGTGGTGAGGATGGCCTATCAGAGGCAGACCCAGCTGCTGTGGTACCACTGCTCCCCACACCTGCTACAGGTCACAAAGGTCATGGCCATTGATGTTGCGTGGCTGGGGACCCACGCCGAAAGAAAAGCGGCCCTGGAACACTTGCGTCACCCTGCAGTCCGACCCCTCGCACCGCCTGCACCGCAGCTTCTGAGTGGGCGTCCCCTCCACCCCCTGGGGGAGCTGCCTCTCGCTCACCCCCCGCGACGAGTACTCCTCCCTCAGCCGCTGGAGCTCCTCGTTGGCCATCTCCTCCACAGACATCCCGGCGAAGACTTCCGGCCCCAGGCTGCCGCCCAGGAGACCACACCGAAGGTGGCTGTTTTTGGGGTTCCTTAGGTTGGCCACCTTACTCCTGATGCATGCCTTGTATTTGGCCTGGTTTGTATGGTGCAGAGTGTGGATGTGCACCTCTATGACCCGGGCCAAATCTGCAGTCTTCCCCTCTGCCTCCTTGGAAGTTTCTGGATCGAGGGCACCAAGGAGAAGCTGGAAGCACTTTGTCCTCAAAGCTGACTCAGAGGAATCCTTACAGGGAGGAGGGGTACCCAGGGAAGTGGTGGCAGGAGATTCTGACTGCTTTGAGAGGGTGGGCAAAATTGACCCCGAAGACGAATCACCAGCTGCCTGCCACGATGACACCCCTTCTCCCTTAGCTCTCCCGCACTTGGTCCCATTTGGGAGTGTTCTGTCCTCGAACCCAGTATGGAAAACCACATGTTCACAAGACGCACCCAACTCCACTGGTTTAGTAGCATCACCAGCAGCTAGGCCACCTCTGTCTGCCAGACAAGTTATGTCAGCCAGTATACTGTCTCCAACGACAGTGAATTCTTCTCCACTTCCCTTCTCCTTTGAGATGTGATAGGGGTGACTGTAGAGTTTCTTCCATTTTGACAACAGGTGCTTGACTGTTCTTTTCACTGAATGGTCTAAGCAGGTTTTGAGGAGTCTGTAAAGAACCCTGACGATGTCTGTGCCTTGCAGCTGCTCACAAGTCACACAGGCATTATCAAGGGCGGTCAGGAGAGGCATAATGTTGCCATAGTTACCCGCCCTGTTAAATTTGTCAATTTGGAGAGTATGATGAGTGATCTGTTTTGTGTCCATGGTGGTCATATTCTTAGAGACTGTGGTGGGAGAAATACATTTATATGTAAATGCAATTTAGGCTACAGCTTTTGTAGGGTCATGACATTTGGTTAGATATTAGCATTGGAAACCCTTGGGCCTACAAACAAATTTTTTATTGCAATGCTTTGAAGTGTGGCAGACACATGTCAACAGAATTTTGAAACCAGATTCTAAAATGCCGCTAATGCACTTCAGGGCAGGCTACACTGCATCTTATGTTGGGAAACGGAAGCTTTGATGCAATATGTTAGCTAAATTCTATCACACCAAATATAATTTCAAAGCACCAAACGTTATTCATACTACTTTTCGTTAAGAAAATTACAGCGCAGTAACTCACTCGAATCGAATTGCAGTTCTCGAGCTGTCGGACGCCATATTTGTTCTGTTTTACAAACCATATATCCGATAGAGGGCGCGGCTCTGCCTGGCCGTGTTCAACTGTTATTTCTTGCAACATTGTAACAGAGAGGAAGAGGCTAAGCGAGAGGGTTTACTCTGCCCAAAATCTGTCGACGAAAATAACACCATGAAGTGAGACATTTTTGTATGGAGGTCAATGAGTGTGTTGAATTTGCTAGAACAAAATAATTAATATAGCATTTGCTACGTGAGCCTTAATTGATCGAATAGAAGATTCGTAATGGTTATTTTGTTACAAATGTATTGATAGAAGTCGACGCACGTGGCATTTCGGCAACAAAAAAACAACGATTTTATATCGGAGTTGTGCCCGTTGTTCACACGCGTGTATCTGCCCTCTCATTAGCTAGAATGGTCCCACCTGATCGTGACTCCCCCCGCCTGCCTTCACCTTTGAGGACAAGTATTTCCATTGTTAGAGCGTTCACTCGACTATGTTGTCAATATAATAGAACATCTTTGATTGTAATAATGTCCATGTGACTTTTTGCCATGTATGTTTACATTTCCATTATATCAAATATATTGTAGGCTAGGTAGAAAAATCTATTAGGTAGAAAATATATAATAATAATTAATATTATATAAATAAAGTCATATCTACCCATATCACATTGTTTTAAAGTATTATTTTGAGGTCACACCTTGGTCAGCCATAATAGTGTTTGTTGTGGAGTTGTTTGTGGAGAGTAAGTGACATGTTGGAGCATGCTCTGAAGCAGTAGTGCTGAAACCAGTGAAATTTTCTGCAATGCAGCCAATGAATGAAAGCTAAGAAAATGAAGTATACAAGCAAGATGAGGCAAGTCTGTCAGTTGTTGTGAAATGGAATAACTTTATGTTATGTAATAAAGTTAGCAAGTTGAGGGAGAACTGTGGAAATGGGCCACATGACATCTGGGTTGTGAAATTGTGGCTAGCAAGTTTGCCGCCAAGCAAATGGCTAAAGTAGAATAGGCATGAGGATCTTTTCCCCTTCTTTTGCATGAGAACTTTCAAAGCTAAAGGTTGGCAAAGCGAAGGGTGTTAGATGAATGGGGTTTGAGCTATTCACTGTTTGCAGCCACATACTGGTAGGTTTACAGTTAGAGCAGTAGGCATTACTAAGGTGTGGCATCGGACAGGTTTACTGAGTGGGGCCTTGTAAAAGTTAACCAGGATAAAGTTTAACACACACTGACTGTGTGAATGTGGCATATATTATATTACTCATATATGTAATTATTATTGAATGGGCAGTGTGTTTAATGGCATAACTGACATAGGCTACATTACATAAGCAGCTGTGCACAATGCATTTAGTCTGTTAACAGAGAATGGGTTGTATGTACACATTGACGTCAAAACATTTAAAATAACAAAAACTAAAGTAAATAAATAAAAATACAAAAACACACTGACTTCAACCTTAGGCATTGTTTTGCCATGACATCATGGTTTGCGTTGAAGAAAAAATATACATTTTCTATTCATGCAGTTATGCCCTAGAGCAGGGTTTCCCAAACTTGGACCTGGGTGCACGTTTTGTTTTTTGCCCTAGCACTACACAGCTGATTCAAATATTAAAAGCTTGATGATGAGTTGTTTATTTGAATCAGCTGTGTAGTGCTAGGGCAAAAACCAAAACGTGCACCCAGGGGGGGGTCCCAGGACCAAATTTGGGAATCCCTGCTCTAGCACTACACCCATTGGCCATAGAAGGTAAGCAGAGTAAAGGTATTGGTATAGTGAGCCCTTGTGTTGGGGGGATTTGTAACTCTTTAGTCACATTTAACTCTACCCACATGTACATGTTACCCGCACATTGACTCTGTACCGGTACCCCATGTATATAGCCTCCCTACTGCTATTTGATTTTACTGCTGCTCTTTAATTATTTGCTATTTTTTATTTTTTACTTATCTATTTTTTACTTAACACTTTTTTTTATTTTCTTAAAAACTGCATTGTTTTTTCACTGTAAGGTCTACACCTGTTGTATTCGGCGCATGTGGCAAATACAATTTGATTTGATTTAGCTCTATTTTTAATTTGATGAATACAAGGTGACCTTTTCAATAAACTAAGGGAGAGTTTCACCTTTTCTCTGAAAGCATACATGCAGGTGATAGTTACAATACTTATAATCTTCTCACAAAATCTTGCCACTCCTATGTGTTTAGGCCTCCTATGTACTGTGTACAGCAGGTATACAAAGGTTATGTGTATGAATACTTTTTTAAATACAAAGGATCAGTGGGGAATAAAACGTAATTCTCAGAACACATTAAGCTCACCCTTATCGTGCTACAGTATGGGGAAGGAGATGGGTGGAGTCAGGTTGGTATGTTGATCAGTATATTTTTTTGTTTGTTGTTGTATTTTGTATTTATTAGGGATCCCCATTAGCTGTTGCCAAGGCAGCAGCTACTCTTCCTGGGGTCCAAACACATTAAGTCACTTACATTACATACAAAACAAAATATAAAACAGTACATCATATAACATTATTACACCACTACATATCTACAATACAAAATGTATAATACTGCCATACAACAATAATACAATGTACGTGTGTGTAGAGTGTGTGTGCTAGCGCTTATTTGCGTATGCGGGGAAGGAGGAAAACCAGATATATAGGGCTCCAAACGACTGGCCCCAATGTGCTGTTCTGACGGCAACCAGGAATGACTGGAATTCCTAAAAACCCGCACCAGGCTCCTTTGGATCTTATCGAATAATTTGCTTGGCGGCTGCTGCAGTCCGGCCTTCCTGCACTCGTGCGTTCCTTTGTACGTGGGAATGGAATTTTACCAGAGGGTAGTGATGATGATGATGATGCTCAGATGTGTTATGGCCAAAAGGAGGCGCTCTCTGCCTTCTGATTTCATCAGATAGACGTGATGAAGTAATGTGCTGTGTCACATTGTCTCCTCCTCCATCACACACATGCGCACACAGCGATTAAAACGCGCGCACACACACAACCCCGTCCAATGTCTCTGCTTGACACCTCATAAGGAGGGAACTTGTTTTAAAGTATGAAGATTCTCATACAGAATGAGCAGGTAGAAAAGGAATGTGGCCAGTCCCCAAGCCCCCACCCCTTACACCCAAACAAGACCATTGCCTGCAGCAATGTACCTCCCACAAATGTTATATTTTCTCCCTGCTGCCAGCTTGATAAGTACTCTTACACTAGTCATACTTAAAAAAATTAAAATAAACTTATTCTGAAAATTATTTTATTGGGTTTATGTTATTTGTTAATCACATTTAGTGAAAGGATTGTGTCTATGAAGAATGTGTCACGTTGTCTGTTAGGTCAGTTCACATTAGACTCACTTACAGCAGTGATATAACTGCATCATCTCTGCATCAGTCTGTTAGGGGAGACTGGAGAGATGGATTCAGTCAGTATTGCAGACAACACAGTGTACCGGAAGGGAGGGGGAGACTGACTGTCCCGGCCAACACACACACACACACACACACACACACACACACACACACACACACACACACACACACACACACACACACACACACACACACACACACACACACACGCACACGCACACGCACACACACACACACACACACATACACACACACACACACGCACACGCACACGCACAAATGCAAGCACGCACATTGACCTTGAGAGCAGACAGACAACAGGGATGGGGAGGGGGCTGGGTTAGTGTGTGTGACAGATTTAGTTATCCCACAAGGGATTCACCCCTGCTCGCCTAGCCTGAACTCTATGCATCTGTGTGTTTACTAACAAAGAGTCTCACGAGACACGAGTACAACACCTCGGGATACTATTGGACAGCATATCTGTTACTGTATGTTTGACATTCCCCCCAAACACCCATGCCTCAGTAGATGAGACTCCACAAACAGCCAGCGAGACTATGGACTGTTATGTCTGACGCGGTGTGATGTTTCAGTTGGTCTGATAAGAGACGTTGTTATTTTTCATCTAGAAATAGCTGAGAAGAGATTTCTCCTGGCCTATTTTGTTGTTATTAACTGGTACAGTGTGTTGTGTTTCATTTTTTTCCTACTGTGTCTGCTTTCCGCTTGTATTAAGATTCATTGAGGCTCTTCAGCTCTCAAACTCAACTCTGGACCTCAAAGCCATTTCCACTGCATTTTTCATTGTTCCCCTCTAATCAGGGACTGATTTTTACCTGTGACACCAGGTGTGTGCAATTCATTATCAGGTAGAACAGAAAACCAGCAGGCTCTGGACCTCGTACGGTAAGAGTTGAGTACCCCTGCTCTACAGCATGGTTCATATTTCAGATGACGATATCAGAACAGTCCATGGGAAATCTGGGTGAAAATATGACTCATTTCAAGTGCGCTGCACAATTGATTAACATATTCCATTACTCCCCTGACTGAATGCACATATACAGATACTTACAGCCTTTCCATTGTCAAGTGAATGTGAATGATTGCACTTACTTCTCTGCCACTCTCACATTGTTTGAATTATGTATTTTGATCCATCCTGCTCACCATAGGCCTCGGATTACAATAAGGTATTTTCTGGGAAGGAAAATGTTGATGTTTCTGCTCAGCCACTGCTGTGGTTTTTAACACATGTCCACCCGACCGGCTGTACAGTGTATTTACGATTTGCCACTGTGGTGACTCATCACATTGTTTTTCCCATGAACTCCCATCGGAGAGATGATTGGTCTTACGGGAAGTCGCAGCCCACCAGACTCCTTATAGACACAATCGCCCACATCCTCCCACAATGCTTAGAGATATCTATCTACATATAAATACAAAAGGGCATGCAAATGAAGTTAGTAATGCCTCCAATGCCTGATGGGTTGGATGATACTTTTCTCGTCAATCATCTTTAAAAAACATAAACTTAAAAATTGGAAATCAACCAAATCCTTCATCGTTAATACAATGGAAAGGTCAAATGCTTTATTATCTAAACGTTGAAAGTGCGTGGGCATCGGAG